GAATTCCAAAGAGTGGTCACCAGGGGGAGGCCACTGATGATGGGGGTGCGGGGGAGGGGAGACCGGGGTTCGGTCTGCACCCTGTAGTCATGCAGATGTGTTCACTTTGTAAACATTACAGCTCTTATAAAAATTAACTCAAAATGGATCACATACAGCTTTTATAAAAATTAACTCAAAATGGATTCCACAAAAAGGAATCTTAAATGCATACTAGGTAAGTGAAAGAAGCCAGTCTGGACAAGCTACCCCAAACACCGCCAACACCTAAACTTGCAACACTAAACTTTGATGCTCTTGGAAGATAAAGTAGAGGACAAAAATCCAGGTGACCTCGGGTGTGGTGACGAGTTTTTTCCTCTAACACCAAAGACACGAATGACCCATGACAGAAATAACTGATAAACTGGACTCCATTAAAATTAAAAACCTCTGCCTTCCGAAAGACACTGGTAAGACCACGAAAAAGACGAGCTACAGGCTGGGAGAAAACATTCGCAAAGCAGACATCTGATAATGGTCTGGGAGGCAAAACAGAGAGAACTCTCAAAACACAACAACAAGAAAACCCAATCTACAAACAGACAAAAGATATGAACAGACACCTCCCCAAACAAGATGCACCCGGGGCAAGTAAGCGTATGAGAGGAGGCTGCCCCTCACACATCATTGGGGAAGTGCAACTGATACAACAACAGTGAGATCCCGCTATGTACATATGAGAACAGCCAAAACCCCAAACACCGCCAACACCAAATGCTGGGAGCGTGTGACGCCACAGGGACGCTCAGTCACTGCTGGTGGGGACGCACCGTGGCGCAGCCACTCAAGAAGATGGCTGGGCGGTTTCCTACAAAACCAAACATGCTCCTACCACATGCTTCTAGGTATTACCCAAATGAGTCGAAAATTTAGGTCTACACAAAATCCTCAACAAAATGTCTACAACTGCTTTATTCGTAATTGCCAAACCCTGGAAGCAACTGAGATGCCCTTCAGTAAGGAGGTGAACGGATGTCCATCTAGACAGTGGAGTATTAGTACTAAAGAGAAATGAGCTACCAAGCCACAAAGACACGGAGGAATCTTAAATGCATACTAGGTAAGTGAAAGAAGCCAGTCTGGACAAGCTACACACTGTATGATTCCAAGTGTAGAATACCCTGAAAAAGGTAAAACCATGGTGACAGGAGAAAGGTCAGTGGTGGGGAGGGGTAAGGGGAGAGGGAGGGAGGAAGAGATGGAGCACAGAGCATATCTGGGTGGTGAAATTATTCTCTACGCTACTGTATGGGGATACAGACGCTCTGCATTTGTCAAAATCCACAGAATGTACAAAACAAGAGTGAGCCTTGTTGTGAACTCAGAGCTTTAGTTAAACCACAAAGCATCAACACTGGTCCATCAACTGTAACAAACGTCCACGTGAAGCTAGATATAGCTAACAGGGGAGCTTCTGGGGGCAAGGGGTGTATGGGAACTCTGTACTGCCAGCTCAATTTCTCCATAAACCTAATACTGCTCTAAAGAGCAAAATCTATTAATTTTTAAAAACTTGTGGAACTGAACACTGTGTGGCATGCATGTTATATTTCAACAACAAAAGAAAATACATCTTAAGTGAGGCTCTAGTGAGGCTAGGTGCTGAGCCATGGGGACCCCCAAGCAGGAGCTGCTGGAGGAAGCCCAGCCCTGCCCAGGCGGGGGGCACCTTTGGCTGAATCTCAGGGGGGTAAGACACTGAAAAGAACTTGTTTTGGACTTTAACTTAGGAATTTAGGACTTTGAATTTTAATTCATAATGACAAAATTTGATTTTGGAGTTTAATTTCTTTGGACCTCAACTTGCAAGGAGATTTAATTTTTGGACTAATTTCTCTCTGGGAAATTCATAATGGAAAGGGGTTTATATTCAAATCAGGAGCATCTCTCTGTGGCTGGCCTTTTGAACTAAACTGCCTGAACACTATCTATTTAACCTCACCGCAGAACCTCTGGTGAGCTGCCCCGGATAGAGCGGCTAGATGGGGCTAGGAACAGGAAATGGAAGAGGAGATACTTTCTCGGCAACAGGTGCACGGGAGTCTTGAAGTCAATGCACTATTCTGATCCATTTCAGAACCTTCTGGGGGCATGAGCTAAACTGTCCACCAATGGTCCCAGGAGCATCGGCAAAGGGAAGGCAGTTGGTTTGGGACAAGTGGTCCCAGAATGGTTGGGAAACCCAGGGAGTGGAGAGAACAAAACCTAGGACTGTCACAGGAGAGCTTCCTGGCCTGGCCATGCATTTCCGTGCCGGGGGCCTCCCGCACTCACCCTCTGCCCCACGCATGCTCCTCCCCAGGCCAAGAGCAGCTCATCAGCTGGAAGGTTTGGGAGATGGAACAGAGCCTGAGCTGTGCCCGCATCCCCTCTCTCTTCTTTCCAGATTTGTCTGAAGGAAGCGAGGATGCCGGGGTCCTCAGGCAACAGGGCATCGGGGCTCTACCCCAGGGTCTACGGCCAGGTGGTCCTACCTCTGCCAGCAGGAAAGCCCATCCAATGGGGTGAGCGCCAGCAAGCACGCCCAGCTCTCGCAGGCTGACCAGCGCCTGCAACAGTTCTGACCTTCTGTACCGGTTCTGACCTTGGGCAAGGGAGACCCCATGTACCTGTGACCCCTCGTGCCCGGCTGACTGGCCAACCCTGTCTGTTGTTTGTTTTCTAAGCATTTATGCTTATTTTAAAATTTCTTTCCTTCGGGCGCCTGGTGGCTCAGGGGGTTGAGAGTCTGCCTTCAGCTCAGGTCATGATCTCTGGATCCTGGGATGGAGCCTCGCATGTGGTGGGGAGGGGGGTGTCTCTGCTCAGCAGGGAGTCAGCTTCTCCCTCTGCCCCTCCCACTCCCCCCCGCTTGTGTTCTTCCTCTCTCTCAAATGAATAAATAAAAATCTTTAAAAACCTTTGAAAAAATAAAATTTCTTTCCTTCTACTTTTATTGCATTTGTTCTGGGTTTTTTCCCCAAACTTCTTGAGTTGAACAATTAGATCAGCATTTTAAAAAATACTTTCTTCTTTCCCAATACAAGCATTAAAACTGTAAATTTCCCTATAAATACCATTTTATCTGTATCTCATTTGTTTTACAATATTTGCAATATGATTTCGTGATTCAGTTTTAAATAACCATTTCTATTTTGGTTTCTTCATTGACCTAAGGAATCATTAAAAGTATGTTTAAAAATTAAAAAAAAAAAAAACAAAAACGGCAGTTCAGAGCCTTTTTGGGAGAGGGAGTGGTCGATTTCTGATCTGTGGTGTTGCCGTCAGAGAATGTCAGGCTGTTAGATGGGATACTGGGTCTCTGGGAACACGGTGATGCCTGCGCGATGGCCTAAAACGGGCGCACATGTACACGAATGATCAGTTCTCGTAAGTCTCTCAAGTATGCTTGGAAAGAATGCACATCCTCTAAATTGGTTCTATAGGTTTTATAAGACCATCTTTTTAAATCATATTCTATAATAACCTTGATTATTTTCTTCCTGATGTGTCAATTCACTGAGAGGGATGTCAAACCTTCCGCGACTATAGGTTTGTCAATTTCCCCTCCTAAAGCCTGTCAATGTTTCTTTTGTATTTTGAGGCTGTTTGTTGGAAGTTCACAGGTTCAGAATTATTTATTTTCCTAGTGATTATTCTCTCGATTATATTTAATAGGCTTCTTTATCCCCAGGACCGCATTTGCCTTTTGTCTCTTTTGTCTGATGCTAATGTTGCTAAACTACTTTCACTCCATTAGCATTTGGATATGGCATTTCCCACCTGTTCTTTCTACTGAAGAGGCAGCAAGGGTTCACAGCTCTGCCCCTTACAAACCCAACGAATGGCCATAGAGAGGTAACTGATCATCGATAAAAACAACAACATATTTGATATGTTTCAATCCACTGCGGTGTAAATCCACTAGTTTATAATAATGCCAGAAACAAAAGCCGTTGGCCCCACTCTCAAAGGATGCTAAGGAACTGGCTCGTTATTTCGAAAATCCACAAATAAAAGGGAAGAAGTGAACATTATTCTGACTTTCCTACATGGACGCACCTCCAGGTAACCCAATAGTTGGCGAGGGGCAGTTTCTCTCTATGGAAGCATTCCAGCTCCGGAAGGAGAACGTCACCGCTGTTCAAACTTGAGCAAAATAATCAGCCTGTGGGCAACAGTCCTGACGGCACTGAGGTGGTACAGAAAGGAGGGACCGGTCACTGCGCAGCTGCAGGAGGTGGTGAGGACAGCCCCGGCCCCAGAGTTCCTGCCCAAAACACAAAAAAGCCTCTGACCATGCAGAGAGATCTCACTCCCAATGACCAGGAGAAACGGGACAGGGGGGGACACTTTAATGGTCACCCTGGGAAACAAAACCCAAATGCAGACTGTGGGAAGCTCTGCAGGATGAGCAGGAGCAGTGCGGCTACTTCAACCAGCAACACGAAAACCAAGCCTGGGGGCGGCAGAGTCACACTCAAGAGTCACATGCCGCAGCTACACACTGCCTGAGAACTTGAGCTCAACAAACTATTACAAACTGTACCCCCCAAAAAAACAAACCCTTCTTCCATCCTCAAAAAAATTTTTTGTTTTTCAAGTTATTGGGAAAATTTTAACATTAGCTAAATATTTAATGACATTTAAGGGATTATTATTAATTTCAAGTGGGATAATACTGAGTTTATGTTTTTCAAACAGGACTCCTTAGTCTTTAGATCTACATAAGGAAATATTCACAGGTGAAATTATACAATGTCTGGGATTTGCTTCCAAGTGACCTGGGGTCTGGGTGGGGACGCACTTGACAGCTGCTGGAGGGAGCTCACTGGTAGGAGCACTGGCTCATCATACTGTTCTTTCAAATTCTGCATGTGCTTGAAAATTTTCACCGTACAGTATTCTGTAAATAATAAAACTTACAAACAAGGCTCAGTGCTGGATTCCTCGCGTCTGCCCGATGCATGAGCACTTACCAGCTTCAGAGGAGTCATCCTTGTCAGTGAGAACGAGGAGGTGCAACAGGGAACCAGAGCGTGTCCTGCCCGTCTCGTCCAGCCCAACCAGCTGCAGGCGTGGAGTGGTCACGGGTGGGAAGCGGTAGAACTGGAAGGTGAAATACACGGTCTTTGGCCACGGCGCTCCCTGGCAGTCCTGGGACACTCTGAATCCAATAAGAGCCCCCAGTTAATCAAGTAACCATAGCAGAGAACCTGGGCATTCGAGAGTCCGGCACCACAGGCCAGACGCTGCCTGGTCTGCCCACGTGAGCGGCTCTACTGGGACCTCGGGGAGCCCACCAGACAGCAACCCACTTGAGCCCCAGCTGGAGAACACTGCTCTCAAAGCTGCACAAATACCAAGAATTGGCCAACATAACACGGTCCACATTCAGTTACAGAAGATCGGGCAAAGCCGGTTTTACTGCATTTAGAGACGGCTGTGTGAGGGTCCCCGCCAATCGAAAACAAAAACAGATAGCATTCCTTCATCCAGTAAGGCCTCAGCAAGAGTTCTGCCAGCTCAGAGCCACACAGGAGTGAAAGTTCCTTCAACGCAAGGAAAGCACAAGACAGCTAAAGAGTAACGGAGACAGAACATTTAAGAACGCACCTGCTGAAGGCGAGGAACTGCAGCACTATTTCGTTGCTTTGTAGACAATCTGATTCTTCCTTTTGAGGGTTGAATTTAACGGGATCTGTAGGATTTACAGCCTCAGCTGGTTGCTTATTGGCATCCAGAATCTCGGGAAAGCCGGAAGCCTGCAGGAGCACCATTGAGGCTCGCGAGAGCTTACTTCCAGAGCTGAAACACAAAGACCATGGAGGCCAGCCTCCAGGAAAGGGCCGGCAGAGAGGCAGGACCTGTGCCCCCCCCCCGCCCCCGGGGGAAGCCTGTTGTTGAGAGTCAGTGTTCGCGGCACATCACGTGCCAGGCCCTCAGGGCCACCCCTCACCTCCTGGCCTGGGCTCCCACGACAATCGGGGTGTGCACTGGCGTGAAAGGCAGCTCCCGCAGCTGATCCGCAACGGAGGCTCCCAGGACCAAGGACGCCTGGCTCAGCTGGGCCTCCAGGTGAGAGATCCTGCCCTCTAAGGGGAGCCCCTGCTAAGCAAAATGCGGCCCCAGGTGAGGCCAACAAGGATCCCAGCCTGTAACCACCAAGGAGGCTGGGATGGGGGGTGTCCATGGATGAATCGCCTCTGTCAGACTGCTGGCTTCAGCAAAGGAAAATATGGGACGCCCAGGTGTCTTTTACACTTGAGATGAACAGTGAATAATTTGGGTATAATGTAAGTATGTCCCACGAAATATCTGGGACTTACACTAAAAAGTCACTGCTTTTCTGAAATTCTAATTTATCTGGGCATCTCATATTTTAAGTGAGTCAAAAAGCAATGAGAATTGCGTGAGAATTCAATCAATTTTATGAACAGGTACCATGGGAGAGATCTGCTGTCTGAGAACGTCAATTAACATAAAAACCGCATTGATAGACCAGAAAAATGAACCCTCCTTCAACACCGCAAGACAGACTGGTACCCAGCCCCTGGCTGGCCTCTGATCCCTGCGTCACCTGAATATTCTCGTCTGTCCAGAGCAGAAGACGTGTCTAAATGAAGAGCCTGTCTGGGAATCAGAATGCTCTCATGCCGACTTCCCTAGCTTTCTGTTTCAGCTCAAAAGGGAATACCACAGAACCAGAGATAACTCCAACATGTCTCAGCTGCCAATTATAAGAGATGCAGGCTCTTCATAAATGAGCCCCAGACATATTCTGGTACTGTTTCCAAATAAATAATTTAATGGCACTATTTTTCCTCAGTAGACTTCCAGTACAAGACTGAAAATACATACGGTTTGCAGGTGAGCCAGCCAGCTTTTGAAACCAAACTTTATGTGAATTCCCCAAGGTCAGTGGAAACATAGGCCTATTTTGCCCTCTGGATGCATCAGAATCCAGGATGGTGGGCTTCACCGCTTCTCCTTCAGCAGCTGACGGCAAGGAGAGTGTCCTGGAGCGCTGGAGGCTCGGATCGGCCTCATTTCTATCTCTGGCAAAACTTTCCTTCCCCTTTCATGTACAGAGATCTGAGGGTAGTCTAACTTCGTCTTGTCAGGTGGAGCAAAAGCCTAATTAAGCCCCACGGCAGGAAGAGCTCCCACACCAAACGCTCCTTGGCCAACAGGACAGAGTGGTGGCAAGTACCCGAAGCGTGGAAGAAAGCCAGGCTCCCCCACCCCGTCCCTACGCCCATGTCACAGAGAACCCATGAAGGTCTCGCCACCTCACCAAGGACCAGCACAGCTCACAGAGTCAGACTTCGGCGGAAGCCCTTCCCTGGAAGGAGGAAGGGTGGGCCTACTTACCTCCTGGGCCAGGGGGCGCGCAGAGCTGTCAGGTTGCCGGGAAGACGGTGTGGCCGAGCGGCACCGAGTGGGGGACCGTGGGGGAGCCGCCAGCTGGGAGAGCGACAGCTAGAGGGCAGGAAGCGTGCATGAGAATGTGAAAGGCAGCCCAGCACGTCACGGAGCCCCCCACTCGCGCTGGCACAAAGCCAGGAGACGCGGCACGGTCCAGAAGGCAGTGGGGTCTGCGACCACCTGCCCGGCGGCCACTCCAGAACCCGGAGCCGTTCCTAAGCTCCGTTACTGGAGTCCTGAGAGGCAAGACTGTGACCCCTCCCACGGGTAACATCGGCATGAAAATGGTATTAACAAGGAACAGCAGGTGGAGGAGAGGAAGAGCCAGGGAAGCCATGTTCTCCGGGGCGGCTGGTCTTCGAACCTCCCCAGGTTTCACTTCCAGCCGGGGACTGAACACCTGCAAGGCCCCTTCCAGGTCTGCAGACAGCAGCCAGGACCGAATCCCTGCTCCACCATTAATACTATTATCACCATTATCGCGTGACTGAGGGCAAGTCACCGAGTCCTTTCTTTACCTCGGTCTCCTCATCTGCAAAGTGGGGTGAAAACAGTACCTAAATCACAGGACTATCATGGGAGTTAAACGAGAAGTCCTGGAACGTGTAAGTAAGTAAGTAAGCCTTCCGTAAAGGCCGCAGATGTCTGGAAAGTGAATGCAGCTGTGAAGGGGCCCACACCCCACGGAAGACCCGCCTCTCAAATCCCGGACGGTTTCTAACACACACTGACAGCTGGCCCAACGCAGTGCTGCTACAGAGGGATTCAGCACGTGAGGAGGTGTCGGAAGAGTGGCCGAGGGGAGGGCGTGTAGCAACGGGGGACCCTGCAGCATCGTCAGGGGGCAGAGAAGAGCTGTGGGGGTCTGTTCGGCTCCCCTCAGACCCCACACGCTGCCCGCTGTTGTGTGGTCCCTGAACACTGAGGGTGACGTGCACACTACTGGACGGAAAACCCTGGAACAGGCCAGCAGGGAAGCCTGGGGGCTGTATCCACACACGTGTCTTGAAGCAAACACAACATTCGCTCCTGAGCCGGTTCCCAAGCTGCACGGTGCACAGTAAAGCTGCTCCCTTGGGACAGCCTTTGACACTGAATTTACCCGACTTTTCTAGAAAGTCATTTTCCAGGGTGATCCTGGCAGACAAAGTCATCAGGAAGACACGCCAACTCTGACCCTGCACAAAATGATGCTGCCGGAACCGCGGGCAAGCACCACCAGGTTTCCAGGGGCCAGTGGCCTCACTGGCCTCTCTTCCCACGCAGGAGACCCTCGCACCCGGAACCACCTGCTGTCTGACAGGCGGGTGGCGGCCAACACGCCCAGTCTCTGTTGGCCGTGGGCCGGTTCCGCCAGCACCAGATGCTCAGCCTACAGGCCTGGCTGTGGCCTCGTGGCCCAGGGCACCAGTGGCTGCCAGTTAGGAAAGGAGCAGATGAAGACCACACCGTGGTGCCTCAGGAACAAACAAAGGCTGCTCGGCCCTGAAAGGTTCTCAGCTATTAGCCATACTGCCAGGGAAGAAGTATTGAACGTGCCTTTTGACGGCAGCCTGGAAGGTCACTAATCACGGCTGGCAGCCGCCGGCCGCACAGCCAGGCAGGACGGGGACAGGACAGGGACGGGACGGGGACGGGACGGGGAGGGAACGGGATGGGGATGGGACGGGGAGGGGACG